ATATCAGGAAATCAGAACTTTTATGAAGTAGAAATTAAGAGCATTAAATAAATGCTTGGAAAAAATTGTTTCTCATTGTTATTTCTAAATGAAACAATCCACACCAAAACTGAAAGAAAATAGCATTTCTTGGTTTCTGAGCTATTAAGTGATGTTTCACAATAGGATTTAGAAGCAGTTGGTCATTCTACAGTTGGATAGTTGACAAATCAACAACTGAAAGGACATTATAACCTTTACTTTCTGAGCTATGTAATATTAAGTACTGAGACATTGGTCAAATGTTTTGTGAGTTACAGTGGAATTTCTGCAGAGAAGGCCATGTGAAACCCTTTGGATACTGATATTGTTAGATAAAATTTCTAGGGAAAATTAAAGTTAGATTCAACTGTTAATGATGATCAGGAATTCTGAGAAGTTGAAATAATTTTGCAGTCTTTGCTTTTTAAGTACTTAGGTTACATTTTGTGGTAAATATTAGTGAGCATTTGGCTATATAAATATTCTGAGTGAAATTAAGTTCTGGAGTGTAAGTTGTTAAGACTTTTTGTTATGTCTCTATGCAACATTGCACCTGATAGCCTGATTTGTAGTACATCAGTCTGCCTGAAGTGTATTAAGAGAGTTGTACTGTAACAAGCATGAGAAATTAAATCAGATATAATGCCTATCATTTTGCTAAAGTTTTATGCTGCTATTTTTCTTCTTTATCTGATGTAGTAAAAATAATAAATAAATAACGCACACTGTTAAAATTCATGATGTCACAAAAACATGTAGGTTCAAAAAGTCTTAATATAAAATGATAAACTAACCCGAGCACTTTCAAAAGATGGGTCTTTCTTTTTCAGGGGCAAACTTGAAAAATTGATGTTAAAATTGAAACACATTTAACCTTATCACGACATCTTCTGTCTATTGTAATAAAGTTATGCAACTCTCGCAAAATGTTTTTACAGAAATGAAACTAGGGAATGAAATTGTTTGAAATTTGACAGGAACCTTCCTAAACGAATGTACGTTCAGAAAAATACAATATTGAATTTTGATTGTATCTACTATTTCTACTACAAATTCATTATTCAATGTAGTGATTTATGCTCTGTCTTTTAGTAGTTCACCTGTTAGGATAATTCATGTTTTCACATTTCACTTGCATAATCTTTAGAACCTCCTAAACGAACATCAAAAGTTTTTTAAAGGTAAATGTATATATTTTACTTGCTATTTTCTCTACAGCATCATAAACTCTAGCTATTATCACAATGTACAGTCAGTGAAATGTTTAAGATTAAGAAATGGAAATATGTACATACCTTGTATCTCTTCATTGAATACTCTTAAAATATCTTCCTTGAGTCATATGCATAATTTCAAATCTTTGTTTTCACCAATTTTTTTATTTTTTAAAAAAATTCTAAAATGTTCATTCTACATGTTTTGACATTTACCTGAAAATTACATGGTAAATGTCAAACATGTAGAGTCCACATTTTTGAAATGCTTTTAACTGTGTATCAGTTTTAACATTGTGTGTTGTTTATTTATAATTTTAACATTATACACAAGTGCCAAGAAAATAATATCTGATTTAGTAGGTTTTTCACAATTCCTAGATGGCTGTAAAACCAGCAGAAATATTGCTGTATCATGATAGCAGAAGCATTTTTGCTGTAATCCTTTGTTCACTCACTATATTGGACTGTCTATATATATATATATACATATATATATGCATATTGCTGTATCATGATAGCAGAAGAATTTTTGCTGTCATCCTTTGTTCACTCACTATATTGGGCTGTCTATATATATATATATATATATATGCATATTGCTGTATCAAGATAGCAGAAGAATTTTTGCTGTCATCCTTTGTTCACTCACTATATTGGGCTGTC